GATGTATCTTCTAGCAATGTTCAACATGAGATAATTTATTCTTAGAGATAATTTTATTGAAGGGTATCATAATTTTGAATTTCCCATCTGTGGAGCACAAAATTATGCTTCGTTCCCTCCTACCTATACAATAATTTACCTCTTCTGGGCAGACTTACCAATACTAAATATGAGGATCACCTTGAGCATGATACTAAAGAAGTAACTACATCACAAGGAGACCAGAGATCCAACTCCCAGTTGGACCCTTCCTTCTGACTGCTACAATTGCTCCCAAGAAAAAAGTCTTTCAGTCCTTTGTGATGACATCATCTTGATATGAATATATCATTATTATGAGGTTGTACTATAATTATTACAATAATAACCCATAAGAATAAAAGAATAACCCCCAATCCAGCTTTTATCTGATAATAGCCCTTAACAGATCACCAGGGAAGGGCACACTGATATACCCCAGGGATACCCACCATGGTTGGAGTCATCCTTGAAGTAGATTTTCTTTGAGACAAGGAATATTATCCATATTTGATAATATTGGTAGTATTTTCCTTAGTGAATGTATATAATTGATTTTTAAACTTGTCTAAACTTTGACACAACATGCTGCAGCTTCTTAGTTTAACTGCATAAAATGGGAACATTACAACCTAACAATAGGTACATAAACTAAATGTAATTTTGCCTTCATCAGGTTTTGTCATCTGCCACTTCTACAATTCTGAGAGCTCATTTTCAATTACTTTCTCATCTCACTGTGCACCCTTTTTCATTTTCATGTTGAACAACATAGAATTTGGCACTGACCCTTTTTACATACTAAAGGCTGACCATTTTTTTTCCTGATCTTTGTTTCTTGCTAAAGCAACTTTTTTATTTTATTTTATTTTTTAATTGGACCTTGTCAAAATTCAACTCCTCTTGATTCTTTGTCACTGTATATCACATACAGTTAGGTCTGCTGATTTTATTCTGTATTGGCATTTCTACCAACTTACTCATGGAGACATCCAATTTGCTGGAATCCTGGAGCCCTTCCAAGAGACTTATCACTGTTTTATCTGGTAACCTACCTGTCACAGGTGCTTTCTGTGTTTGGTTATTACCTTTCACTTTTTGAATAATGGGTCTATTCCTGCAGGATGATCCCATCTTTCTTTTTGCTCTTTAATCATACTGGTCTGTCCTTCATTTTCTTACATTTCTTTGACAGCAGCACAAGATGCTTTCTACTTTTGTTACAGCATTTTTAAACACCCTCTGGGCTGTCTGCAAGCATCTCATTATTAAGGTTGCTGCTCCGTATTTCTTTTTAACAATTGTCATTCTGCTCAGCTTCCCATTTAGAAACAGAACTTTGCTGCATCCAGCTAAAGCAAGACAAGGAACCTTTCTTGCTGTCTTACAGTCAGAACTTTTTTTTTTTTAACTACAGGAAAAAATATCACAATGATCTGCTTCTTTAATTTACATTTTGCCCACTTTGCTGTAGGTTTTCAAACAACAGGTTATTCTGAACTGAAAAACAGCCTCAACCCTCCACCAGAATATTCTATTTGTGAATGGTCTAGTCATTTCATAAATAAATATTCTATGATGAAGGGTTCAGTTTTGATAAATTGGCATTTTCACCAAAAAAAAGGACAGAAAATATCTAGTCAGGTCTGAGCTCCCCTTTCCTTTTGGTACAAAGCAGAACTGACAGTTGACCTGATGTTAGAGGTGCATCTGTCTATAGGAATCTGTGTCCTTCCAGGTGTGTGTCTGCCTGTCTCGTGCTCCTGGATGAGGGGATAGGAGGTTCAGACAGATAAGAACAACTGACAAAAGAGGATCTGACGACTCACTTGCTACTGTGCAGTTTATTATAATTGTTTTATCTATATATAATTGTTTCATGTGGAACTATGTAGGCAAATAGGGTTATCAACATTTGTCACCAAGTAAAATCTCTTGTGGATGACATTATTTTAACATTGGTGAGACAAAGTATCAGTATGAACTATGAAAATATGATAATTACATCTGTTTGTGAGCACAGTAGGAGGCAAATTAGTGATATATCTTTAGGTATCCCTTAAAATAATTCCTGAGACCCTTGATTAATAACACATACTTATTTTCTCTTTATGAAAAGACTAACATCATTTTAAGTATGTTTGGACATCTTATGTATTTTTAAAAAAATAACACTCTGTCTCAGAGAGTTTAACTTTAAGCTCCATGTAGACTGTTATTCTCTGCTGTAAGATATCTATTGCTTCATAATAGGCGTATAGGATACATAGACAAAACAGATCCCTAACTTAGATGTCTCAACTAGAAGGGATGAACTAAAGCCATATGCAAGAGGAGCTTTTAGAAAGTAATTAGTCAGACATCACTCCTATAGTTGATTTTACCTAGAAACACACAAAGCTTCGCGCATGAAAACCAGTTTGGTGCTTAAGCAGCTGAGGGGGTTGGGACTTGAGTCACATCTACAGGTGGTCCTTGTGACAGGTTATTTATGCAGACAAAGAAAAGAGGAAATGAGACGCTGAGTCTGATTTCACTCCTCCAAAATGAGAAGCATAAATTCACTCTCCACGTTATGGAATCTTTGTGCTTAAATTTATTGCAATTATTTGCAAGTACAATATTGCCAGTTCCCATACTCATATGACTATTCTCCTTATTATTGCATTTACAGTAAACATACAGGAGAAGATATTCCATTTTCAGTACTCATCTTACTGCTCAAGCAAAACCATAAAACATAAGCTGAGTGAGCACAGACTATAAAATCAGAATGTAAAATAAGGCAAGTGTGGTAAAAGCATTAGGCTCAGTATTTTTTCACTAGAAAAAGAGCTTTTGCTGTCAAGTTTCCTTTGAAACTCCTTAACAAACATATGGCAAATGAATCCCTTCCTTCGAGGCACTGATGCATAACTTTTAATGTCAACTTGAGAATAATTCAGAAAGTAAATCAGTTGACAAATTTCATCTGGTTTGCTTTTCCCTTGAACCTTTGTTTAACAAAAAGACTAACTTCTTTTTTCATTAGACTAATGTTTCTATGTGGAAGAAAAAAATCATTATTTGTAAGTAAGATAGAATAAACAGTACAAGTTTGAAGTCTTGCAGAATTTATCTAAAACTAAGTGTAATCAATTAGCAACAGTAAATTTAAAGAAATCAAAGACAATTTCAGTAAAAAACAAGTTGTAAAGCTTGGAACTTGGATTATCTGTTTTCATGAAGACAATGGTCATAGCAACAGCTCCTCCTCATGTTCCTGCAGTCACTCTCAGCTGCTTTTCCCCTCAGTACTTGGCCCTTCCCAACTGATTCCAGCTGGGGCTCTCACAAGGACCAAGCTTGGGGTAGTCATGGTGCTGCTGGGTACTCAACGGCAGA